TGATCATTTGTTAAAAATGATTTGTAATATTCTCCCTTAAATCCTATTTAATAGATGAAAATCCACAGACATTCTCTTAAGAAACATCCAGAGAAATGCTTACAGTTCTGCTACATCTTTCGTTTATCAATTCTCTGTTCAAACAGGAGAAGAGAGTTCATCTTGTTACTATATTGACTGAATATAAAGGTGAAAGTTGATTAACTTACAGAAATAGAGTCACGTTTCAGGTACACAGATGAAAGGGCTGGGGTGGAAGGAGGAGAGAGACTTTGAAAGGCATTTGACAGGGGAAAGTTGTATTCCCCAGGTAGCCCTGTCAAGCAGCTCTGTCGACAACAAAAAGAAGAAAACAAATAAATTGGAGGTTGTGTGAATGTCGCAAGACCAGAATATAAATCCGTACGGCATGGAGAGAAGTAAATATGAGTAATTCACATTCTCACAAAATGTTTTAGGCTGGTATGTCCTAGCTATGCCAGAATGAAAAGGAAAAAAATAATATGTAGGTAAATCTCCCAGACCCTGGTCCGGCATTCACCTTTTATGCATCATGCCCGCCCTTAAAAAGCGCCACTGCAGGCACAACAGGGCCAACTGACTGAAACAAAGACAGTGTGTGACAAGACTCAAGACTCCTACATCTAGGAATGGATCTAACGCTCAGGGAACATTTCATCCCTGTCTAATTTTCTAACTCACAAGAAAGAGCGAAGCCTTCACTCTGAGCAGATAAAGAATATCTTTAGACAGAAAGTGGAATGTAGGACTTGGGTTTTTTTTTTTGTTTGTTTTTTTGATGCTTAACGAACTGTAGAAACATGCATCTAAAAATTGATTGAAGATGATAGTAGTCATCTTTTTTCCCATTAAAAAGAAAATCATTCCAAGCTTCTGTTATCTGTCCGTACATGGACTAAATCTTCCCAGGCTCTTAAAGTCCACATGTCCTTTCCCCAGTGCCACCCCGTTCTTGTTTGGCTTTGTGCTCAGTGACACCACCTGTTCACCCCAGGCCTGGGTGTCTAGTCCAATGAGGGCCTTCTTGAAAACCTTACATAACTGCTTTTTTTTTTTTTTTCCTGTTCCATGCGCCTCACCTCACCAAATCTAATGGAAGCTCTGGCCCAGAATCCAGAAATGTTGTTCCAGATAGACCTGGCGGGTCTCACTGCTCATTAACATGAGCTCCTCCTCCCTGCCTGGGAAGTCAGAACACCCTGTCTTCCTGGGGCATCCGTGACCTGCCAGCTCAGGAAACGAGACCCTTCATCTGGCATGAGAAATCTGGATTCCTCCCCATGGCCATAAAACCTTCAGTTTTAAGTTTCAATAAATACTACTCTTCTAAAAGGTGCTAAACACCAATAAACTGTCTGATAAAGAAGTATTGTTCTAACATGTGGATCTGTAGGTGAGAAAAAGAAGTTTGCCCCTCCTGGAGCCTCCCAAGCCCTAGCAGAAGGCTAAGAAATGAAAGTGTGTTGGATGTATTCAGGCTTTATAGCAAAGACCCTCTACAAGGACCTAAAAGTGAAATCCCAAAATCCAGAAGGACAGTCTCATAATATTTAGACATGTTATGATGTACCACCAAAATTATAAGTATGTTTGAGATGCCTTCTGTTCAAAAGAGTCAAAAGTTTTTCATAACTGGGCAACTTCCTTGGCTCTTTTCTGTTTTCACTAGACTCTTTCTGGATGGTCTAGCATTTCTGATGGTTTCAATGACTTCATGTATGTTGATGACTAACAAGTGCTTCTCTCCAGCTCAGACCTCCTTCCTGAGCTCTAGGGCCATGCGGCTGAGCTTCGAATCCCTGTGGGCAGCATCACTTTCCCCTCCCATTCTGCTCTTCCTCTTGTGTCTCCCTAAATGTCAGCACCATCCACCTGGCAGCTCAAGTCAGGTCGCTGAGCACCCTCCTGGCCCCTCCGGCCCCTGCAGCCTCACCTGTGGTGGTTTTCAGAGCCTAAGGATTCTGTTTCCCTCCTGTCGCTTCAACACACCCACTCTCTCTCCCCCCTGCTAGCTGAGCTCAGGCACTTACCATTTCTCCACAGGTGCACCAGGGCCTCTCAGCTGGTCTTCCTTTCCCAATCCATTCTTCATGGCCAGAAGGACCATACTAAAAGGCCATGGAGATTGTACCATTCCACTGCGCCGAACGCCCCAGATGGAAACAAAAGTCGTTTGTGACCTACCTCCTGTCCATCTCTATAAACACATCTTTCACCATTTCTCTCATCTTCTGCACTGGGGCTATGGGAGTCCTCGAATGTTTACTCTGCATCTCTCCATGCTTTTGTACCTACTAGTATTTTCTCTATTCTTCCTCACATTCCTCTTCTAACTAATTTCTGCTTATCCTTCAAAATCCATCTCCCTTCAGGAAGTGTCCCCAGGTTGCCTTTGGGTTGATCACCCCTCCTGGGTATGATGGCAGACGAGGTCTTAGTACTTACATGGGATTCTAACTTCATTGTCCTCTCTTTCCCCACTGCACTGGGAGAGAGCTCTTGGAAGGCTGAGGCTTTGTCTTTTCACCTCTCGATTCCCAGAGCCATGCACAGGGTCTGGCTAGTGTATGTTCTCAAAACAGTTCTGTCAGTTGACTAAGAGAAATGCCCTAGAATGAGGTCATATGTTCCTGTGCACCTTCTTTCTGGAAATTGGCCTAAATTAAGGCTACAAAGAAGTAGATAGTACTAAAGTGGGAAGATTTGTTCAAGCAAGGCACAGAGTCAGATTTTAAGATGTGGGTCAGTTTATGGGCCTGATTATGGGAATCTGTCTCTCATGAAGACAAAGAGGAGAGTCTCAGCAGTTGCCCACTTCACAACAGCCTCTAGAGACAAAGACAGTTATATGGGAGAGAGCTGGACCCTGGGTACTTGCAGACAGATGCGAACAGGGGTGTACGGGCATGTGCTTAGGGATTTAACGCTCCACATAAAAGCAAGTTGAGAAGCCTCCATCTGTTTTGTTGCCAATAAGCAATAAATAAATAAATAAATAAATAAATAAATAAATAAATAAAGGTCTTTCTTCCATTGTTTCAGTTCTGTAAATTTGTAATGTGAGAATACATAATAAGCCCCTACAGGCCTGATCAAACTCATACCTCAGTTAGAGAATTTTTAAAAATGAATTTTGAGAAAGAAATCCATCCCTGACCTGGGAATGTCAGCCATGTTGTGGGCTCTACACGTAACTTCAAGATCATTACTTCTGCATCTGCCAGTGCTTTGCCAAAAAGCTGCCTCCCTGGGTCCTACCTACTTTGTTTTCCCCTCAGCTGTCTCCAACCTGTGCCATGCTCATGTATTTTAATGCTGCATCGTTCCCCTGGGAATGTTACTATTAAGTTATCAGCCAGTCCTAATGATGGAAAATCCTGTACTAAAAGCAGGCTTGGCTTTTGGCTTCATGGCCCAGTAGAAACCTGAACAACTCTCAACCTGGGAACCTATGAGGGCATAAGCAACTTACTGATTATGTCCAGGGAGAATAGGATAGAAGCATTACCTTAAAATGCTCTATTGGCATTGTACGTAATCAGCTCTCCTACCCTGTGGTGTAAAGCTAGCCCTAGGGGTGGAAATGATCATCAAACCAGTCATTTAATGACTTGCCAGGTGATACTCGGCTACCCTTCCACCATCTGTCTCTAGGAAACTTGTGCTTATTAGAAAATGCAATTCTGTGGCTTTTGGTTTCTATCCTAGAACTTAGCAACATTTTAACCTTTCCAAAATTAAGTGTGAATAGATACATTTTGATTAGAAACGCTAAATCACAGTGCACTAAAAAAAAAAATGTGGTTTTGACAGAGCAGTTGAGTATCTTTTCTCTCAAAGTTGTCATTCCTCCTCCCAGCCCCTTTCTTCCCTTCGTGGGCACTCAAACACGGTGGGGGGGGGGGATCACTTCCTTTCTCTCCCTGGCCAGTGTCCTCCCGTCAGTCATGCCAAAGCCACAATGTGCAGATTCTGCTGGACTATACCTTTCCTCTCTGCCTCTTTCTCTGACTTTGCCTGCATCATCTCAGCTCTGGCCTCCCTGATGCAGTAATTTTGCTAAGATTAGTAAAATGATATCCTGGCGTTCTCACCGCGAACCCACCAACACCACTGCTCATCTTCCTGAAACATGTCTTGAATCATGTCATTTGGTCAAAAAATTTCAAGGGAGTCCTATTACTTCCTAAATCAATCCTGTATGCTTAGATTTTTAACTTACTGTTCTGCTCTATATTTTGTTATTTCAACTACAGGTATATATTTGCTACTCCCCCTGCCCCCCAGCCTACCTCTGTGCAATTGCTTGTGCTGTTCACCCCACTACCTCGTTTGAGTGCTGGTTTCATTATTTACTAGCTTTGTGCTTCTGTTTCCTCATTTATAATATAAGGATCATAACAGCACCTACTTCCTAGGGTTTTGTGATGATTGCACGAGGAAATCCATACAAAGCCCTTAGAAGATCGCCAGCACAAAGTCAGTTGTCGGTGAACGTTCACAGTCATTATCATTATCATCATCCCTTTCAAGGACCATTTCAAATCCACCTCTTTAGTGAAGTCTTTTTAAATTGCCCAACTCAGTTATTTTTTCCCCTTTTTGTACTTCTCTGAATAGCATTCAACATATAATGCCCTGTCTTAGAATAGTGCGGGCACTTATCTTGGCCTCGACTGGACTCTACACTCGCTGAGGTTGAGGAAATTTTATTCATCATCGTGTACTCTAAAGGACCTTGTACAGCACCTGGCACATCGAAAGGACTTAATAAATACTGGCTCAATTGAAAGAAACTGATTTTACTATTTTAAAAACTCTGTTCCTCAAGCCGAGAAAGAAATAATACATACAGATAAGTAAATGAAATGAGCGTCTCGATAACAAGGCTTTTACTGGTGAAAGACACTGAGATTGATGTCATTAGGATGCATGACTGGTCCTGATAACACCCTTTTCGTCCATGTCCTCCCTTGCAGGTCTGCTTAGTGGCCTATCTTGGTTTGTTTATGCTTTGTGTCTCATATCAAGTTGACGAACGGACATGTATCCAGTTTGCTATGAAAGTAAGTTGTCATTTTTCTTTCTCTTTTATCATCACATAGAAAAAAAAACCCACAAGTACAAAATAAAAGAATGCTTTTTAAGGGGTTGCATATCAGATTATTCTAGAAATTGCATTTTTACGCAGGCCAAAAAAATGTTTTAGGACGGCATTCATCCAGACCCCAAAGGTAATGCTGATTTTTTTTTAAGTCTTAATTTCCATGCACTAGGTTGGCACAGAGCATATGAAATCTGTCCTTCAGTGTCCTTACAAGGAATATTGAAAATTCATCAGTTCAACAAAACACTTGGCCAGGGAAAGGTGTCTCTATTAGTGCCCACTTCCATATCTTGGGGGTTTTTAGAATATTTTAATAGGGAGGCGGTCTAAGTGTATTTCCTCCTGTAGGTGGGATCACTGAGACAGAAAAAGTACATTGGGTGCATCCAGATGATCTGTGCCAAGAGTCTGAGGGTAAAGGGGGGGAGAGGAGGGATATGCATGGTTTAACAAGTGTGTGTGTCTTTCCCATGCATGTATTTTTTTTTCCTCTGTTAAAAATGGTGCATTTCGTTGGAACCATTTCAAGTACACAGCATTTTCACTGCACAGTAGAATCTGCTCCAGAGGGAAACGGACACACCCTTTTAGAGTTTAGGGAGATAAACACCCAACTCAGCAATCAGAGCTAGTAGAAATCAAATTCCTACATTTTCTTTCAACTACTTGTAGCAGAGAACAAAACACTTTCTGTAATGTTAGTTTGTTGAGGGTTTTTTTTTTTTTTTTTGGTCCATTCACACTGTTTACTTTTCTTTTGTAACAAAACACATAACAACTGGATACTTCTTTGTTCAAACAAGAAAGCATAGTGCATAAGAGTAAGTCAGCTCTTATTTAGAAATTAGGAAGATGCAAAAGAGATATTTTGTATTGTAGTATAATTGAAGCAGTTGACATAAAAAAGCAAAATGCTTATATGCATGATATTTAAATCATGTTGTAAAAGAGTAATTAATGGAATAAAAATGTTCACATTATTATCAAAAGCTGGCTACACAAAATATATGGTGTGATCCTACAGAAATAAAAAAAAATAGCTCTCTGCATAGAAAAAAATAGTTATCTGTGAGTGGTGGGAAGACAACTGCAGTTTGTAGTCTTTTTCTCTAATTTTGAAGTGTTCTCCAATAGTTAGATATAACTTTTCTAATTAAAAAAAATAAGGGATTCTATTTTAAAAAATTGATATAATTTCATGGCTGTGCCTACATTTGGAAATTTTACTTTTTCTGAGGGTGTTCCTTAAAAGAAGGCCAGATAGAGCAGACATCAGTCCATGTTTACTTTTTTTGTAGAGGTCTGACTAAACACAGCAAGGCTTAGTGATGACTTAAAAAAAAAAAAAAGGCAGAAAGCCTAGTAAGAAATGCCCTGTTGAAGTACAGGAACCTCTTTCACTAGGGTAAAAAAGTGCTCTCTGCTAGGTTCATCAGCTTATGTGAAATGCCCGCATTTCCCCTCCAGATGACCCAGCAGAAGCACCGGCATCAGCTTCACAGAGACCCCCAAAGCCATCTCAACACCTGCACTTAAAATAAGGAGCAAGGACAAAAATAAAATAAAATAAAAAAAGTCAGTGCCAGTGTCAGCCAGGTTGAGAATTCCCCACTAGGAAGATCTCATTAGCTACCTTTTTCCCCCCACCTGTGACAGACACTGACAAATACAGAGGCACTTTTCTCCTCTCCTGAATGTGACCTTTAGTGGTGCTTTCTGTCAGCTCTCTAAGGCGCCTGCTATATTATCTTCAGGTCTAAAATGAGCTTCAGTCAGCCTCCAGGGTTTCCAAAGGCACAACAAGTTACAGCGGACTTTCCTTGTGCCTCCACACCATTTGGGGGGCGGGGGAAGGGAAGGCACGAAATGCATCTTCATGAGATGTTTCTCACTAGCGTAACCGCATTTGAGTGCCTGCGTATTGATACCCAGGCCTAAGCTTTGTTGGAGATTTTGTTTCCTCCGCTCCTGTTGCAGACCCACACGGTCAGGGCAGGCACCCCGGGGGATCACCGTGGCTCTCTGCAGCCCGAGCACGCACGCGCGCGTGTGCGCGCCCCGCTCCCTTCTTCTTAGAGACAATGGCTATGGGACTTGGCTTTCCACCTCAGGCGACTTCAGTCCTCCCTGGCCGCGCTCGGGCGGGCCCCGCGACGCCGCCGGCGCGTTCCTTCTTTCCCCCCTGGCTCTGCCCGCGCGGCCTGGGCGGGCCCCTTGGGCCCGGGATTGGGCCTCCTGCCTTTCCTCGTGGCCCTGTCTTCTCGGGGCTCACCTGGCTGATTTTCAGAAACGTGTCGGGTTCATGTGCTTGGCAGCACTCCCAGGCGCGTTCCCCGCGAGGGCATTTAAGGCGCGGTCGCCTCGTGCCCACGGGCACGAGGCCCCCGGGCTGCCGCCGCTGCTGCAGGGGCCTCCCCGCGCCTGCCACCGGGGAAGGTAATTAAATCGAAGCCAAACCGCCCTCCTCCCCAAGCCGCCGAGCGTTGAGGCTGCAGCCGGGTACCAATTAGAGGCCGCGAGCGAGCGGAGCCCGCCCGGGCGCCGCTGTTACATAAGCGCGGGGGGCCTCGGCGCCCCCCCTGCCCGCCGGCGGCCGAGCGCCCGGCGCGCGGGCTGACGCGGGCAAGACAGATGCGTCCCGGGCCCTGCTTCCATCAAGATATATTTGCTCGCATTCCCAAGGTCATCGTAAACACTTTCATTGATGGTTTATTCGTGCCGTGTAGGTAAAACAAGCCACTCGATTTTAAATTACAGATTCTCACCCAGAAGCTTGTTGCTGTCAGATGAATTAAAAGCCGTGAAGGAAAAATGCTACAGCGCTGCAGAGGTAGCCCACAGGCTTGGTGGGGAGCGGGGATCGAATATGTATTTATGTCATAAAACGGATAAGAAATTTGATTCTGTGGCTCACGCCCGTTTACTGGCCTAATGTTTTCACGGGGTGGGAGATGCAGAATCACAGTGTGTGAGATACGCCCCGATGAAAATGCATTCATATTCAAAGGGGCTGAGGGGCATGGCTTTTGTTTGTGCGTTCGCTGGCTTCTAGCATCTTTAAGATGCTCAATTAAGATTGAGCAAGCCCAGTGTTTGTGTAAATGTTTACATCCTTTCTACAAGCCAAGTATGCACTGTTACTCCCACGTGACAGAATAAGACAAAGCCAGTAGAGTTGATATCTTAAGAGTCTTGAGAATTGGCAGCTCTTTCCATCTCTAGTAATTTGCTTATTGATTTCACAAATACTTAAGTGGCGCTACTATGTACTAGATACAGCTCTAAGCCCTTTACTGATATCAACTCTTTTGATGCTTATAATAATCCTCTGACCATAGGCGCTATTATGATCATCATTCCAAGCTTAAAGGCGAAGAAATACAGGTACACACGGGATTGATTAGTTTGCCCTAGGTCCGCAGCTAAGAAGGGAAGAATCAGGGTTCCAATGCGGACAGCCTGGCTCTCCAGTTTATGCTCGTAACCATCAACCTGCGAGACACTTCTTAAATGTCTCGGGCACATCTGTTCATATCTAAGCCAAAAGGTGATCTTTTAAAAATAGGCAAAATTCTCATTTCAGCAAATGGATTTCTGGGATTATGAGAGAATAATATTTTTGCAACCATTCGAGTTATTTGCAGACTGAGAATGAGGGATTATTTTCATTGCCTCAAAATATTGTCCCAATGAATGTTAAAGAAATCTGCTAAGGATGTATGTGTGTGTTGGAGGTAGTAGTGTTATTGTAAGACCTCCTCAGTTCCATCATTGATGGCAATAAAATGTGCAGACAAAACTCCAATTGGGGGCATTCTACTAAGCAGATGACTCTCAGGTGGGAAATTATCCCTTTAATTTGGGCCTTCCCTGCTGGTAAAGGCACCAATGTACCCACATCCCCAAAGCAAATAGTTCCCAGTTCCATGCTGCCTGCACTGGAAACACGGCTCCGGTGGTCACTCTTTAACCTGGCTCTTAGTATCAGGAGTTTGAAGTCGATCATCAGGTCCAAAGATTTCAGAAGCACCCAGAATATTTCAAATACTCTGCCCCAATGGTCCCACAAAAATAAACTCACACTCTTTAGCCTGAGCAGTATAGTGTTTGCAGAAAATATGGCCACTGAAAATTTAGGGAGGGGATATATTCAATATAACACATTGAATTTTTCCTTTTTAAATTTTTAACAGTGCCCATTTGGATTTATCTGCTTCCCTTCCTCCAAGGGAGACCAAACTTGTTAAATAGAAGTTCTCCTTGTTGTGTCCCTGAGATAGAAGACTTTGCAATAAACTGTTTTGCCGATGAAACACGTTGGTTCCAACTGACAGGTCTTCAAGGGATTTGAAGAGGAAGAATAGTGTGTGTGTTTATGATGTGTTTGATGGGAAGATCCAGAGAAGCTAGGCACTCCTTGGTTGTGTAGACATGCTAAGACAAGATGGTTTAGCCAGTGAGTTCCACCTTCCTCCTGTGCCGTCAGTCAAGCTTTCAGGCAAACTAGACACATGATTAGGGCACCAGCACACATGCACACACACAAGAAAGAAAAAAAAAAAAAACACATTTTTAAGTGTTCTATATTTAAGACTTGAAAGCACTTGAAATTGTCACCGTGTGGAGAATCACTCATTTGGAGGACTTTTGTACCCATGTTTTATAATCTTAGATATGTGTTTTTATTTTAAATTAAATTACATGACAGATCGTTGGAAGTGGAGGGAGTGCATAATCTTTTCAGGGCTACTTTAATCTGAACCTGGACATGAGTAGGACTACTTTTACTTTGAGGAGTTCACATTCACCAGAACTGCTCTACAAGAAACTTTTGACGGTGGTATGCAAATCTCACACAAGGAACTGGGTTCAGTACACTAGTTCCAACAGCTAGGGACTCTGTTCCTTATCTAGACCCTCAGCAGGTGGGACCATAAAGGGAAATGTTTCCAGTAGGTCAGTGCCATCCCGGGAACATTTCTTGTTCTATAAAATGCTTTATGTTGTGACTGTGTCAACAAGCACTCACAATTTTTGATCAACACATTTCAGGTGTAAGCTAAATGTCCTGTTCAGGGATTCCATGGTTTCTTTAGCAGCAGAGTTTAGATCTTGAACCTGACTTTTCCATCACAAGGCTATCACATAAGCCAACAGTGTTCAGAATCTCTCGGCAGCTGAAGGGCCATTTAAGGTTTATTTTTATGCTCAGGAACTACATGGTTATAGGTAGACTTGGGTTGGGACTTGTAGGTGATGAAGCTGACATCCAGTTGTCTACCTTCTGGAACCATAATTTTTTTTTTCCCCAGCAACCTCTGACGGCGGATCCTGGCATTCCTGGACACAGGTTGACAATCACTATATTGAACACTGTCATTTTTATTAACCCAGTTGATCAATCACTGCCAATTCTGGCCAACACAGTGTTTACATTGCAGAAACGCGTTCTTTACTTCCCAGTCATTTTGCAGTCTTGAGATGAGCAGTTTCTGAGGTCAAAAACAGTCACAGCCTGCCTTTCAGGGATGGCTCTCATGCTTGGGAGTCACCTAAACTGGTATCCACATCCACAAATATCCCACAATCAAGCTAACATTGTTGGCTCAGTGTATGAAAAGCACCCGACATCTGTATGGCAAATAAACGTAGGATCAGGGCATAAGGACTGCTCACTATCAAATCAACATGGAACCATTCCTCTGTCTTGGCGACTCCGTTTCTGAGGCAAGAAGAGCCCTTCCCCCAGGACCTTCCTGATGAGAGAAGAGAAAGCAAGCTTCGATGAATTAGCTTTGTCACGAGTCATCCAATGTTCTTTGTAACTGGCAATGTTCTCTTCTGCTTTCCCGCAGCTCTTGTATTTCCTGCTGAGTGCCGGGGGCTTGACAGTCTGCGTGCTGGCCGTGGCCTTTGCCGCCCACCACTATTCGCAGCTCACCCAGTTTTCCTGCGGGTGGGCTCTCGACGCCTGCCACTGCAAACTGCCCTCCGTGGAGCCCCTCAGCCGGACCTTTGTGTACCGGGATGTGACCGACTGTACCAGCATCACGGGCACGTTCAAACTGTTCTTACTCATCCAGATGATTCTTAACTCACTCTGTGGACTCTTGTGCTTGCTGGCCTGCTTCGTGATGTGGAAACACAGGTACCAGGTTTTTTACGTCGGTGTCAGAATGTGCTCCCTCACGGCTTCCGAAGGCCGGCAGCAAAAGGTCTAGCATTCTTGCTTGCAGGTGGGAGAGGAATCAGCCCAGTGACTAGCTGAGGTCAAAAAAGAGAAGAAGGAGGAAGAGAGAGAGGAAGAGAGAGAGAGAAAAAAAACTTTTGACAGTAATAACTAATAGTCACTGTTCTAAAGGAATATTTTTGTATTTTTCAGGAAATAAAAGCATCTCATCACGTTTCTATAGTATTTTTAAAAACTCTTACAGGGAAAATAAGATCCAAATTGACTTTGGGATGTTAAAGGAACAGGGAACAGGGAAAGAACGGCATGCATCTATCCTTGCCGCCTGGAATTTACTCCTCGTGTAGATTTCCCCCGCTTTCTGAAAGTAGAGCATTCCCACCCATGCAAACTTTCGTAAACCGAAATGGTGTAAAGCGAAGAAGTTGTTTTGTAGAAACGAAAATTCTTCCGATTTCTTCCGGTTAGGGAAAACTGGGACTCACGTGGATATTTTGTAAAGCAGAGTGGCTGGCACAAAGCAAACTTTTGGATAATGGGGGAAAGCTGTCCTCATTTTATTCATCATTTGTACAATCTTCTTTCCTGTGAGTTCAGTTTATAGTGTGAGTTGGCATTTCAGGCCCACTTGCTAAATTGTGCCATCTTTTCCAGAACTTTCCACCCATACCCCCCCTTATCGCCACTAAGTCTTGGAGAAAGGCAGGGGGTGGGGGAAGAGCTGAACAGCCAGGTTGAGTCTCTCTATTTTCCCTGGTAGAGATGTCTCCAAGGCATGAAACAGCTTGAAGGAGCTGAGTAGAAAAGGAAGAGACTTCACAAAGGCTGAGTAATTATAAACACCCGGACTGGGGCCGAGGCCCTTTTCCCCTCAGCACCCTTAGTTTGGCTCTGCAAGTGGATCCCTTACTAAATGCTTGGATGATTGTCTGCTTCTCGATAATTGAAAGTTGGTGGTAGTTGTATTCTTAATGATGTAGAAGGCTCAAAAATAATTACATTATGCTTCTATTCTATCATCTAAAACAAATCATTAAAACTAATTTCTACCTAATTGTTAATTATAATTATGCTCCGAAGCCTACTTAATGAGCCCTGGCTGTTCTTACATAGCACCATCAGAGAAATTACTCTCACAAGAGAGGAGGCTTAAAGATTCTTTCTTCTGAAAGCCAAGCTTTACAAGGGAGAAGAGAAAATATTTTTATTAATAGCTCAGGTTAAAAATACTCATTTAAACAAAAACAAGAGCATTTGTAATGGGCAATGTTTGTACAAATAGCACATTTGTGATATGTTGTGAAGTATCTGTCTTGGCAGCTAAGTTCTTTTGAAGAAGATTGGGAATGCGGATGCGTTCCATTCATAAAAGTGTATCTGGTATGTTATCCCATTATTGACTTCTATGCACAGTCCACCCAGAGACTTGAACTCCTGCTTTGAAGTCCTGATCTGAGCATCTGCCCGCTGACTTGGAAAGTAGTTTTTATTTTGTTTTGTTTTTAAGTTACCACGACTTTGAAAAAAAGCACAAGTACCCTATGATGGGAGTCTTCTCTCTCTTGTTATCAAATTCTGAACAATATTCATGTCTTAAGTACGGAGCTCAGAATGCAAATTCGTGCAGCATAAATGTTATCAAGATCTTTCTCTACTAGCATGCTCTATTGAAATCAGAGATTCAAGATAATAATGGAGATGAATTTGCCTCTCCACATTGCCTATTGATAGACTCCACTAGTCATGAAATTCAAACCTAAAAGGAAAGCATTTTCTTGTTTGCCTTAGAAGATAGTCGAACAATCCCATTGATTGCGACAGTAGTGTCCGTTTCTACACAATATAAATATCCACGTAAAAAGAAAAACATTAAGTTGGTAAGTTGGAGGATTGTAAGTAGCTTTTATGTTCTCTAGATAAAACACCTGATTAACAGATGTGAAAATCTTTTTTATGTATTGACTCGCTTTAAAAACGGCCTTTCTGCACAAGAGCTTAGGCCAAGAATTCACATTGGAAGGCTTAGTGGATAAGACTCTGGGGGCAGAGGTTTGATCACACACAAAAACTATAGTGAGTGAACACCAAGCATCCTGATGACGACCTGAAAAATACTCTGTGCGCTGTTAAAAAAATAATACCAGTAACTGAGTCCATTCTGATTTGGACAGTTTCCTACATAAAGAAGAAAATGGCTGCGAATCTGAAATATTGTAGCTGTTCTGTAAAGAGTGAGAAACTCGTGATTGAATGCTAATTGCTATGAATCAGGCACCCCTGGAAGCACACCCTGACTTCCTTCAACAACTTTTTATAGTGAACACTACAGTTTTATATTAGAAAAATTAAAATTCTACACATCACTAAGGTTCTCGATGCTTTACAAACGGTTCACAAGGTATTTCAAAGGGTAGAATAATCTTTAGCTTATGTGCTTTCTTTTTCTAAATGGTGCCACCAGGCAGGACTGACATAACTTTGATAATAATCAGGATATATATATATATATATACACACATACATATACAAACATACATACATATATGTAAATTGGGGATTTTGCTATTGTGTAATTAAATCATTCTTAAATCTCCGAAGGAAAAGAAGTAATCATAAGAGAAAGAAGGAACAAACAAATAAAACAGGAAAGAAACCAAGAAAGGAGTCCTGTGCTGTGAACTCACTGAGTATTGATACATGTAAGAAATGTGTTGCATGAATAACAAACTGCTTTGCGCTGGATTTAAAGTATTTTGAGGTTGTGTTTTGCAAATATTGAAGTTACAATAACGGCAACAGAAAAGGAACAGATACACAGCTTTACACTTAGCAAAATGTTACATTTAAAAACTGACAAGGAGCCAAGATGGTGACTGTCTCTTCTAAACCATAAAACAGTAAGATTTGCGCAACCCTCCTCCTCTTCCACCTCCTTCAGGAGAATGAAATGAATCAAGACTTTGGAAAGAGGGGAAACTGCCGAGACTTGGCAGTACTTGAAATAGGAGGAATACAGCAGCCTAAATGTACAGACTGTGTAACCGAGCCCACTCGATCGGTCTGTGCCTTCACGTGACCACCATCTGTGCCTCCCTCGCTCTGTCCAAATTTGTGGAGGCAGCTCCTTGGAGCCAAGCCTAAAAATATAGCTACGCCAGGCCCTAGAAACTGTAGTCAAGTGACAGGCCTGACTTTTTCCCCCCTCTTTGAATTAAATGTCTATGTGATCTCTTTGGAGGGGTTCTGACAGGGAGGACCCATTATATGTGTGTGTTCTAGTCACAGCCGGGACATGAGAATCTCTAAATACTCTTGTTCTTCCCCTCCTTGCATGCATTGTATCTGGAACATGTTTATAGATTTTTAGTAAAGGGGGGGTAGAGGATATCCAAGGAAGGTTCTGGAGGACAACGGTGGGGCGGTTATTTAATCAGGAACAAACTTCGAAGTTGCCCTGAAAAACCAATCCTATCCTGTCACGAAGCCCACCTTTCCGTTTTCTAGTGACTGCTTCTGAGCTATTGCTAGGTCGCCATTAACTTCTGTCAGTCGTGCTGGCTGTCGGTTTTTACTGTACTCTAAGACCTCTGTCGTGTTTCTGGATGTACACTGGGTCTTCAGGACAGTGTTAAAAAGAACTGCTGCCAAATAGATTGACTCCCAGTGGAAACATTTGTTTGGCTGAAGACTCAGTGTTTCAGCCTGTGAAATGGATGCCTTGATTCTTTTCCTCTGATTTTCTAGTACTTTATTATCTCCTTCAAAAATATTGGTCTGCATTTTGGTGTTGGGATTGCATTTTTCTGGTGTTGATGAAACAGTGACTAGAAAACAAAGTGCTTTCTACATGTTTGAGGTGGTTGTTTTTCAACAGGATGCACATATGCAGATTTTCTTTGTTAATAAAATTTTAATAATCTCTGAAAACACCTTGTTTGGATGTTTTGAAGTATGTTACACATGAACTTGTATACATAAAATCTCTCAGATGAATGTTTGCTTCAAAGTTCCGGTTTGGGGATAGATGAGAACTAATGTTCATTTTGACTCCTTTGTTCCAGTGACTGTCTCTATTTTGGTACAGGGCACCCACTGTGGAAGTCAAGGTTATAAATGCTCCCTGGGCCGGAGAGAGCCGGAGCTGAAAAAAATCTTGCAGAAAGTACTCGGAATGCTGATTCTTAATTTATATCTATTAATGTCAAGTAAAGCTTGGCCTAGAGAAAGGAATACATGTTTGAGTTCCACATGTTCAATCATATCCTACATTTAATTATACAGAAAAATAGACGGCCTAATTCCATTTCAAATCTGAATGCAAGGACTGCTTCTTATGAACTGAGGCAATTTAAATAGTTGCTGATACCTTACAATGCAGTGGTCCTTTCTGTTTATTTGAGTTAGAAAAGCTTGTAGAATGGAAGGAAAATGGAATCATGACTTAGGATACACTCTCTGAGGTGGATTTCCTATCCTTAGTGCTAGGGCTGCAGGTCCTAGGGGTGGAAATCTGACAGCCACTTTCTGGCTGTGTGGCTTCTGACAAACCATTTCATGTTTAGCTCCCTCATTTACAGAGTGGAGAAAAACATAACCGCCTCACAGTACCCTGGGGAAAGTTAAATGAAATAGCACTTAGCAAAGTGACTGGTTCAGAGAGAGCTTAAGACACACTTGGTTTCTTCCATCCTTAGCTGGGTTCTGCGTAGTCTGCCCCACCTGTCTCCACGTCCAACTAGAAACATAGCTCTGCTTTGCTATCCCCTTCTGTGGCTCCCTTTTTATAAACCAGGAACATTACCAAAGGGGCTGCCAACAGAAATTCTGCTTTTAAAGTAAGACAGTGCCAACTCTTACTGATGATGGACAGCGCACAGAATGATGTGCTCGCTGGATCCCTATTTGTTGGTTTACCCAGCTGGGTGTTTCCCAAATGGGGCCATCTTCTCTCTAATCTTCTCTCAGGGAGAAGCAGAAGCTGAGGCATTTCTCCTGATTTTCGTGTCACTTCAAATTTAGTTTGATAGAAGCGTGCTTCACCCCAACATTTTAAAGTGAAACTTTATTGAGCTTTTGTACATTATCAGTCCCCTGTATTTTAGGTTGTGATGTACAACCCCTCATTTATTTAAAAACCAACCATCAACCACCTTTGGTATGCTTGACTCTGTGGGCCACTGATTCTCATTCAAGAATCATAAAAAAGTCTATTTTTGAGCATAGTCAGTAAATACCACCTAAAGCTTCATTCTCCAGGTTGGGTAAGAGAACATTCATATGAATCTTTAAATTTGTTGCGGGTTATTAAAATCATACAGTTAGAAATCTACTTCCTCCCTTGATAGAGTCTATCTCTCTTTGTAATTCATAATAGTTATAAATTATTTTTTTCATTTGACAG